GAGTTAGTGGGGAGCGACGACGCGTTTTCCACCATTTTGGCATTTTGTACAGTACAATACTACAAGTACACAAACACTGCACACAGTTTTACAATTTTTGTGTGTAGTGACAACTATTCAGACTCTCTGAGATGTCTTTCAATTGGTACAGTTTTTTTTTTTTTTTTTTTTTTTTTTTTTTTTTTTTTTTTTTTTTTTTTTTTACAGTTGTTATGATGTTCTGGGACGCTGGACCCGGTTTCCAGCAGGTGCCGCTTCCCAGCAATAGATGGAGCCTCCTCGGGAGTGTTACCGTCTTCAATGCCGAACACAACGCACCCTTATTTTGACTGTATCTGGCCCGAAATATACCTTGTATACATTCATTTTTAGGTTGCGTTATGTTCGGGGGAAGACGGTAGTGGTGCCCGCTTTTATCCGCAGATTCAGCACCCCTAGCATTAGCCGGGGAAACAAAAAAAAAAAAAAAAGATGTAGGATTAGAAGAGTAGGTATTGGGACCTCGACTTCGATAGGGTAGGCTATTACATTAGTATCCGGCTGGAGTGCAGGCAAGAATAACCTAATAAACCGGCTGATGCTGCCGGGATAACACCGGCTTGAATTGTGAGGTCCCCGGCCTCGTTTCAAGAATTCAAAAAGAGTTAAAAAAAAAAAAAAAAAAGGGCTCGCTCCACTCCTGTCCGCTATAGGACTTGGGATAGTTTGACGTCGCTCCGCTCAGGATCCAAAACCGACCTTCCAAATTCCGCAGATGTGAGGTGTGCTAGATAGAGTACATGATTTTTTTGTGAAACACCGCTCGCTCTCCAATACCACACTACTACCTGAGTTCGTATATCTAGTGTTCTAGTGTTCTAGTGTTCTAATGTTCTGGTGTTCTAGTGCTCTACAGACGAGGGAGGGAGGGTTACAGTGAGGGAGGGTCCTTCAAGGAATTCACGACTACGACGACTCCGAGTTGTATAATTCTAGTGTTCTAGTGCTGTCGCGGCGTATTCTAGTGCACTCACAAATTGGAGACTCAATGGAGAGTCGTATAGCGGATAGTAGGTGGAGTGAGATACAGCCTTTTTTAACTATTTCAGATTGTCTGACAGAGCTATAGTACACAAACTACCTGAATTTCTGTATAGCAGACTGCAGTGCAGCATGGCCCCAACACTAACAAGATTTTGTAGAGAGGGACCCAAAATCTCCCCCTAGAACATGGAAAGATACGACACCAAAGCGACGTTTTCGATATATATAGATATTAAAAAAAAAAAAAAAGCACGAAGATACAAAAGCATTAATTTATCGCTTTTGAGCAGCATGGGTCTCTCTCCATTGCTCTCCACTATACGACAATTTATATATATATCGTCAAATAGAACTGCCGACGGTAAACCGTAGGCAGAGAGGGAGAAGAGGACAACAAAGGAGGGGCTGTGACAAACTGTTTCGTCGGAGTTTCACCGACTCATCAGGAGACTGAACCCTATATATATACTATACAGCTATACACAAAATGGAGGAAAACGCATAGTCGCTCCATGAATTTAAGGGGCGCGACCCACTACTCGCCATCCGCCAAGATTTTGATTGCATGTGGACATGATTTTGTCGAGATGCATTCAAAATCTTGGCGGATGGCGAGTAGTGCGACCAGGCCCTAACTGTAGTACAAGTCTGACTACCCAAAAGGGCTCTCCAATTCGCAACGGCAAAAGAAAACAGGGTGACAGCAGTAGAGAAGGGCCTCGCTCCACTACACAACACTGTACATGCATTTGGACGCTTTTGGGACCAGGGGCACTCGGACGAGTCCACCGTTGTGAATGCATCCGGTCAGGAAAGCGTCTAAATGCATGTATAATGTTGTGTAGCGGAGCGAAGCCCGAAGGCACGCGGTCAACAGCATTTTGTCCGCCTAGAGACAGCCCCTACAAATTCGGAGGAGCCGAATGGTGGTGAGCTCACCGAGACGGAGCACTCCACGACTAACAGATTTTGCACTGCCAGGCTGGCAAATATACAAGGATGCAGAGTGCCTTACCTGTGGGATGTCTGACAGCTATACAATATTATTTTTTATTTTTTATTTTTTTTTTACAATAGAATTTCAGGACTTGGTTTGTAGAGTTAAGTGGAGCTATGAAAAGTATACAAAACTGTAGAAAAAATTACAAAATTGTATTATAACAGTGGAGAGAGTAGTGGAGATGGGTTTAAAGAATTAGCCTTACAAAAACAAAAAGAAAAGAGAAATGAAAACTATACAAATTTGTAGAAATTGGATAGTGGAGAGAGTAGTGGAGCGAGACCCCATGTCGTGACTGGTGGGGTGAAGCCCTCAGTGGTCTGCGTAATTTCCTATGCCTGACAGGGCCTGCATAATTTCCTATGCGTGATAGGGCCTCGCCTCGCTCCACTACTCACCCCTTGCACATAAGACAAAATATATGGCGGTGTTCACATGTTCTAGCAGCAGAAATTTCATTCCCATTTCGCACGTATCGTCGGTAGTGGAGCGAGGGTCCATAGTCGAGCAACGCTGACTACCTACTATATTCACACACACACACACACACACACACGTATCGTCGATAGTGGAGCGAGGTCCGTAGTCGAGCAACGCTGACTACCTACTATATTCACACACACAAACACACACACACACACACACACACACACACAGTAGCCAAGAATCGGTTTCTTCTTCCACAGGCAGGGTGGTAACGAAGTCTATATTTGGCATTGAAATTCTATATTTAGCATTACGTTTCTCCAAGCAACGATTTAGTGCCTAATATCAGGCGCTCAATAACATGCCTGCTCAATAACATGCCTGCGTTACATCCTGGCGCTCTCATCTTCCCCCGAATAGAACGTGCGTTCGTTATGGCTATATTTGGCCAACATTCGGTCCACATTCATTGACAGTGCACGTGCGTTCTATGCGATGGAAGTCGGCAGGGCATGGTGACAGGGAAGGGAAGAGGAAAAAGGATCCGAGGAGAAGAGCGCTTGGGAGGGGAACAGCATGCAACAGTCTCCCAACTCGCCCGCCACTCGCCCAACACTTCGTCCTCCTCGCTCAACTTCACAACATTCTGAACGTATCTGGGCCGAGTAATGGTCAGATACATTCGAAATGCGGAATCAGTCCGGATGTATCAGGTCCATGTCACCTCCTGATACATTTGATGTTGAGAAGTGGAGCGAGACACTTCAAACGCGAACACCGTGCACAAGAACAAGGCAGCAGTCCATATTCGAGAGTAAAATGTCGGCGAGACTAACAATACCATGCACCTGGTGCCAGATCCCACTAGCAATGAAGATTGGATTAAGCGCCTGAATCCGGACGTATTTAATGGACAGGTTGGTGCAGAATCGCGATTGAACTGCATTTCTGCATCTCTGTTGAAAACCCATCCAGATTCAGCACCTTAATCCAATCCTCTTTGCTCAGCTGGATGAAGCTTCCGGTGCACAGTTCTATCTGGGTGTTTGCGAGGTTCCCAGGACTCGTTTTTTTCCCCATGAAAAAGCGCATGGTTATTTACTTCAGAAAGCGCATGGTTATTTACTTCACTAAACAAAGTCATGGTTTTTTACTTGATCAAGAAAAAATTCAAAAAAAGAAAAGAAAACAATAGCTCGCACCGTTACCGCTCTCATCATTCTCTCGACAGAAGCGACTCACTCGTCAACTTTCATTTTTTCCTTTTCTTTTTCTTTTTTTTTCCCAAAAAACAAAATAGCTCGCCCCATGGACGACGGATCAGATATTAGGGCCTAGTTGCACTACTCTCCATAGGCCAAGTTTGGCGAGTACGTGCCTGGTTGCACTTACTCGCCAAACTTTACGAATGCAAAATGTGTCAGACGGCTCGCCACACCGTCGACACAAGTTATTGAGAGTGAATTCGGTTTCCCCGCCTGTGCACGGCGGCTTGTGGAGAGTGGTCGTCGGATCTCTCCACAAAACAGCTTTCTGGAGAGTGCAGGGCTTCACGAGTCGACATCAGGTAGACAAAAAAAAATGACTTCTGTGTAGAAGAAATATAATGGCGAGTAAGTGCAACCAGGACTCGAGTTCGACGCGATTCTCATTTTTTTCACTCTCCACGCATCCGCCACGAAATGTGACGGATGGCGAGTAGTGCAACTAGGCCCTTAAACTGATCAGAACAGATCAATGCATTTGACCTTAGCCCCGACTCACTCGTCATGACACACACAAGTTACAAAAATAGATTAAGAGAATTATACAAGGACCTCGCTCCACTATTTCCCCATTCGACACTTCTGTGGATAGTTCTATGCACCAGATACATTCAGACTCATTAAAAATTTTAACGTATCAGGACCATTATCGCCTTCATACACATTTAGAAAACTGTGCACTGGAGCGAGGCCCATAATTTCATGAAAAAGAGTCGGTGCCTATAACCTATAGTAAACACCGTCATCCCACGCACGAATTACCATTCTTTAACAACGATCTAACGGTAACCGTTAAGATAAAAATCACGACGGACCCAAGAGCCTAGCCCACTGGGTACACCCATGAACTGTTTAAATACAGACCCGAGCTCAAATCCAGATGATGGAATATGAGTAAAAAGCAAATGTTTCTCAATTGTATGGGGCCAATCAGCTCAATGATGATATCTCAAGGCCTTCCCCCTTGAAAAAAAAAAAAAAAAACAGACCGTGCCAAACAGAAACATAACGGTGACCGTTACCAATACTCATAATAAACGACTCACCCAACGATCAAAGAAAGATGGTTATGAAACATAGAACCCATTATTACTCAATCCCAAAAATAAAAAACAGAATCGTAACGGTGACCATCACCAATAATCATAGAGGATTCATCCAATGAACAAAGAAACATTGTTAAGAAAAAGCCCATTCTTTCTCAATCCCCCCCCCAAAAAAAAACGAAAAACGATGTCGAAGGTAGAACCCATTCTCGCGGTTTTTTTTAGCAGTGTACACGCTCGCAAGGAACGGAATTTTTACTATTGCGTGTGAATAGCAATCTAGCCAGTGCTTACCACCTTCTTCTTTTCTATCAACCCTCCCCCGCCCTCCTCCAAAAAAAAAAAAACGACCATCCTTAGAAGGAACTCAATCGAATGAAAACGTTTCCAAAAACCACTACCGGTAGTGCAATTTCCAAAAAACTCGCTCGAATGAAAACGTTCCAAAAAACACTACCGGTAAGATGCTGGACTGAAGCAGCAGAAACGCCCGAAAGCTTTCTTTAAGTGCACCCACCAACGGGTTATTCTCTTCATCAAGAGAGTCTGTCTTCATTAACTGAGTCTTCGTGATCATCAACTGAGTCTTCATGATCATCAACTGAGTCTTCATCAACATCAACCGCGTCTTCATCAACAGTAACCGAGTCTTCATCAACATCAATGGAGTCTTCATCAACATCAAGAGTCTTCATCAACATCAACTGAGTCATCACCAACAGAATCTCAACTGAGTCTTCATGATCATCAACTGAGTCTTCATCAACATCAATGGAGTCTTCATCAACATTAACTGAGTCTTCATCAACATCAACTGAGTCATCACCAACAGAATCTTCATCAACCGGAATTGCTCATTCATTTGGAGCCACTAACTAGTAGCAAAAGGATTGTCGAATCGTATTCGACGATCCGTCGAATCTTGCGACGAGTGCGTTTTTTAATCTGGACAAAAACATGCAGCATACTGACGCGATTCCTCGACCAGAATACGTATCTGGTCGCAATCATAGGCATGAAACAATACTTGATCGGAATCCTCGAGCCGAATACGACTGGGTCCGTGGTAGACCCCCGTTCGAGCGAAATTGTCGAATCAATGGCTTTGATCCACAGGTTGTACTACCGCTAATATTCGCCAACCTCAGTCAAGATTCGGACTGCGCGCCAATCCAATCTGTCCACAAACGTCACCCAAGAACCGAACTGCGCGCCGAGTCCTCTTCGTCAACCTCAGTCACGAACCGCACTGCGCGCCAAGCCAATTTGTTCTTTGAACCGGTAGAAACAGATTATCAAAGGATGAAGTAGCATACGAGGACGGAGACCGAAAATGCAAATCCAAGAATCGCACTGCGCGCCAAGCCAATTTGTCCTTCCAACCGGCCGTTAAGCGTTGACCACCGTGGTCAGTGCTGCGAATTCGGTCCCAAGTTAAAAAACATCTTGTGGCGGGCAATTCGTGCATCTTTCATCTTTTTCTCTATCTAGCCCAGAATTTTCGTCAGTGTTTCTAGTCCAGTTCGCCGCCAAGTGCAACTACTTTTCCGTGCAATTCATCACTCTTTTCCAATCTTCCAATCTTTTTTTTTTCGACCGCCACATACTGTCTTCTTCACAAGGTCATACCTCTCGTCTATATGCTGACAAGAAGCCGCCAAGCAAACACACACATTTCCCGCGCAACAAGCGGCCCAGTCCAGACCGGCAGATCCCCGGTCACTGCGATTAATTCCAACCGTATCTGCTGCTAATTGTCAGCACACATGAAAATCTTTGCGCGTCGAACGCGGAACAAACACGAAACTAGGGAAACGGAGAATTTTCAGCAACAGCTCTATAAGCCAAAGCGAGGGACGATAGAAAAGAAACGAAACAGAAACAGAGAAAAATAAAAAAGGTTCCCGCCCACAATAATGAGTTTGATAAATCGAAAATCGAATAGAAAGAAACCCAACTGAATCGACCGTGCGATCAATCTCTGTGGACTGCCTTTGATTTTCCTTTGGAGGGAACGGGAAGAGAGGACAGCTGCACCACGCGACATTCCGATTGCTTTGCCAGGACACGCACTCTGTAGCATCATTCCTAACGTCCAGAGTAGAATCACTCTGACGATTCCTTCACAAATCTCCATCAGAGAACCATCCACCTCTTCATGAGCGACGAGGGACGAGTCGCACCCCGCAACAGCCAGAGAAGTAGACCGCAGACAGACACTGGATGTCCCCTATCGTCGCCGCTTCAAGTGAAACTCTGACCGTCCCCACGCAACGCCGGACGTGGCTTCGACCTCGTTCGATTCAATGCACCTGACATCGATCACAACTTCGTGATGCCCGTCATGTCCATTCGATCCAATGGCCCAACAAATCCTAGGAACTCTCTGGCTCAAATCCGTAGTGATCGCGTAGAGCGCTGTTCTACAATAAAAAAACGACTACAACAAAATAAAAAAGACACCGAATAATGTCAGTGTTGAAACGCACCACAGAAACAAAACACCGAAATCAGAATAACCACCGAGAGATCTAGTATCAAAGCAAGTTCAATAAAAATGACTACGGATCTACCAAAGAGTCGAAGACTAAGCTGAAAATAAAAGAATTTCCTCCATATTCACAACTATTAGCCGCACTTGATCATCTCTCTCTCTCTCTCTCTCTCTCTCTACCCTCCCCCCCACTATTGGCAAAACCGCGCAGAACGACAATCACCCTTCGTCTACTACACAGAGAGGGCGCCAATCTGCGGAATTATACTACTGAGTCAGAAACGGCACACTGTCAGTCAGTCTTTACAACATGCTTCCTGTTCGATCGAGCGGGACACTAAATAAGATGAGAGAGGACTGTCATCTATTTTTCTCTACTCGAGCGTTTTCTGTCCAAGCGCGGGAAAAACTACGCCGCTCATGCTGTTTCCACCTTTCACGCGCGCGAAAACGTCTCCTCCTCTGCATCAATCATTTACTCTTGTGCTTGTAAAATGCAAGCGGCACCACCTCGTACTTCCACGTGTCCAGCAGCACCAGACCGAATGCACAATACCACGCCGTTATGGCGGTCAGTAATCCGAAGTACCCCCCGGCCTTCTTGAACCCCTTCACCTCCCCCCATTCACCAATGGTCAGGAGTGCAAAAGTGATTGCCAAGAGGACAAAAGCGCAATTAAGCGCGCGAAACGTCCTCGACGAAGCGACGGCCATGTACGTGGTGAAGACCGTCCACGTGAAGAGGAACAGGCCCGTAGCGATGTGCACCTTCTCCTTGTCTAATCCAGGGGCGATAGCCATCACATAGTACGCGAAGGACAACCAAAACGCGCCATAGGAGCAGAATGCCGTGGCACCAAACGTGTTCTTGGCGACCAACTCCGCTATTCCCGCCAGCACTTGAACGGAGCCTCCATAGAAATAAGCGAGAGGGATGACTACCTTCTCCACGGATGCAGGGAGAATACCGGCATTGAACATAGACAGAATGAAGGTCGTAATTGCGAAGGAGTTCAAACCGAGGGGGCCAGGATTAGCCACGAGGAGGGTGGTCTCAACGGACTGCAGTCGAGGTTGCCGACCATGATTCTCTTCCTCGCTCCTGGAGGACTCTTCTCCTCTCGGCATGTAAACAGCATTCTCGACATCTGCGTTCGTCGTCATACCCATTGGCGCCATCTCTCTCCTCGCTGACAGACAGAAAATTGACTTCCCAATGTCCGATTGGATGAACAAGATCGAGATCAAGAGATCGAAACACGTGTATGTGTATGTGTGTGTGTGTGTGTGTTCCAATCGACTCCAGAGAGAACTCGATTCACCGACAGAACTATTGGGCAAGAAATCTGATCAGAGTTACAGCAACAGCGACAGTCTTGGAGATTTCGCAGTGCGCATCGGACTCAAGCAGCACCTCTTGTAGACAGCACGTACGAGAAAGGGTGGTGGCCACTCTCACAGGGAGAGAAGAAAGACAAAGGGCCAGATCGGAAAACAGAGACACAGAGAAAAACAGAGAAGAAAGAGAGTAATAATAATGCAATGGAGAGAGAACATGAGTCCACTAACGCAGCCTCATCGCTATCGATACGGCCAGTTTTACTAGGACTAGGATAAGGGAGAGAGCCAGCTGAGAACTTCTCCGGAACTACTATACTAACGTATCACTCACTGTTCCACTGGGTAACGACGCTGAATATATATGTGTGTATGAATCCATTACCGATGGTCGGCTGGGGGATGGGGAGGGGATCAACAGACGTTTTCGGCGGTAAGGTGTGCCTCGGTCACGCAGTCCACCCCGGCGGGCGAATGGCACACGCAAGCCTGGTAGCATTGGGCCCTGCGCCAGCATAATGCCAGACACAATCTGTCTGAGCCCTGCCTGTCTCTGAGCACGCAGGGGTGCGCGGGTCCCTACGAGTCGGCAGACTGTGACCTGTTCAGGAAACTCGAACAGCACGTGTGCTCATGAGACCGGGTGAGTGCACGTGTGTCTGTACCTGGAGGTAGTAGTGGCCAGATACATTTATAGGCATCTCCTGCAAGCAGGCGACGGGCTTGAGATACATCCATTGTCGAGCTGACCAAGTAATTCAGAATTTCATTTCCGGATTCGAACACAGGTCTCTATTTCAATAGTGCAAGGGTGTAGGAATTGAGCTGGCCCCGTAGGTTCTCCTGCAGTTCAGCATGTGCCCAGATTTTTTTTTTTTTAGGCCCGGACCCCACAGGTATGCGGGAAAAGCGTAGGTTTTGGTGCGGAGGGTTTTTCAGACCCCCAGACCATAGGGCGTGGCCTGGAAGACTTCAGCCTCGGTTTCCACTCGCTGTAATGATGGCTGAATCCTCCGTGGCACCCGCGAATTCCGGAAAAAATGCCAAAGTTACACGGCAGGTCCCAGAGAGGGCCTCGGTGGCGGACAGAGGGCCTCGTTCCACTACTCGCCATCCGCCACAAACAGTGGCGAGAGGCCGAAAACTGCATTTTTCTGGCGGAAAAAGGGTCTTGGTTCCATTACATCGCCGCCGCCACGTGCGCTGTGGTTGCTGTCCCGGCCTGCTTCCCGGACTGTGGCGGATGGCGAGCTAATGGAACTGTGGCCGCCTTCTCTTCACCATGTACTCGGACCAGAAATCTCTGAACAATACACACGCATCCACCGTTCACAAGACAAGAAGACGGGGTCCTTGCATAGGGGGACTACCCAGGAAACTGATGGAAGAGTTCCGGAAGAAGTTCTTTCACACAGAAACAACATGCCGACTCATTCCCATTCAAGGGAGAGACAATCATTCAGACGCATCACCATTCACCCGTGAAGAAGAGGAAGAGAGAGAGAGAGAGAGAGAGAATCGAGGGAGGAAAGTCGAGATAGAAGATAACAAGGTCCGGAGAGAGAAAAGTCGGCGTTGCCGCCGCACACTCACGTCTGAGGCAAAGATTCGCAATCACAAAGGCGCATTCGCCGTGAATTCCAATATGGCCCCAGGCCAATCACTCACTCAACTCCGATCATCAATCCCCATACCTGCACCGACGGTCCCGGTCGTCGCGTGCTAACTCTCACCATTGCGATCGTCACCCCGCCGACGTAAACTTGACACGGCTCGCCCAGATCCCACAGTCCGTCGTGGCGATCAAGCGCGCAACCGATCAGCCTATCGTCAGCCCGACAGGACTTTCCGACTCGCATCAACCACTCTGCCTAGCCACTGCTTCCCGGAAGCTGGCTCAGGAGTCGAGAACGTAAGAGAGAATTGCGGACGCGCTTGCGGATTTTATAGTTGCGACAGGGGAGACGGAAGGGAAAGAAAGCGAAGGGAAGGTTGGGGTGTAAGAGGAGAAGACTTTGAGAGGAGCGCTCCGTGGAAGCCATGTTGATCCCTCGAGACTCAAGGTTCAACCAATCAGATTCGTCGCGCAATAGGAAGATCCTATTGATCCACGCAACTGATTGGTGAGCGGGAGTTATCGAAGGATCGACCGGGCGTCGAGCGCTAGATTAGAGGGTGAGAAGGGAAAAGGCGCGAGAAGTAGCGCAAGACGGGTCCAAGATTCAGAAGATCAAGAAAGGAAAATGGGCGCACAAAGAAAAAGCAGAGTGGGAGAGAGAGAGAAAACAGTTACGGGGAGAAACAAAAAGGAGGGAGAAGGGGAAGGGAGCGCGGGAGGGAGCGATGCGGGGGACAGAAAGGAGAAAGTTTTTGCATGCGCGGCGCCGTTAACAAAAAGAGAGAAAAAGGCACCGAAACAGTTACAGTTTGCTTCTATCCTAATTCAAAATTGAAATCACCATATCCGCGCGCGAAAAAAAAATCCTACGCCTATTCGTATTCGCACAAAATTCCGAGAGTTTTCCCCAACGCGACCGAGAACATTCACACACAAAAAGGACACGTCGAAGTTCCGCTTATCCCAAAATTTCCAACTGTCGGGCCCAATTCCCAATGCGCTCGCTAAGGTGCACGTAAATTCCCATGTATTTTCCGACTTGCCAAAAAAAAAGCAGAACCCAAGAATCGTAAAAGCTTCCAAAAGATGGGAGTAAAAAACGCGGTACCCAAGATCAAGAAAACGAAACGAGGTTTTTATGGGTTGGTATGATACAAGAAAAAAGGGTACGAAAGATAGCACGGGTTCGGGAAGTGGTTCGTCACATGACTGCCTTTAAGAGTTTCGATTCTCAGGCTGCATTCACCCCCTCTGAGACCATCCCACTCTTAGTGGTTCAGCGACAGGACATTATCTTGTGCCATATTGCTCTTTTTCCTTTCAGCACTGAAGCAATTGCCTCCAGGACTTAGGATTGTATATTGCTACATTTCATTTTTTGTTGTTAGCTAGGACATGTATACCAAACATTTGTTTTTTTTTTTATATTATGTAGCTTAGGCTGCATCACATGGACTCAGCATGGAGCTTGCTCCGCATCCTAGACTTCTCAGCTTTCTTTATTGCAGAGTTTCGCTGCTTTTGCGGATAGCGTGTTTATGGTTCTTGCGATCCATTACAGGTTTGAGGATCGTGCAGCGGGCCTTCATCTGCCCTGGCCTACAGCCAGGGCCTATTTGGCTATTTGCCAGTTCGGCCTGTGGGACCAGGCCGTGCACTGTTTCAGTCCAATCCCGTCCTGCCCGGTACCATTGTCGGTACCAGGCCAGTCCAGTCTAGTCCAGTCAGTCCGCTAAGGGTATACCCCAGCTGTTGTCTATTTTTCGTCATTCTTCATTTGCACAGTTTGGAGTATGTGCATGTTGAGTCTGCGTTGGAGTTGCGTTGTCCCTTCCAGCTCCATCTCCATCTCCCCCATCCTCATCCCTTCGCCTTGATCCTGTCGGAGCGCCATCCCGGAGGGTCCGTCACATTCCCTGTACGACAAGAATGAAGATTGAGCGCTGAGCATTGATTGCTTCCCCAGGAGGGAAGAATTAACTCAGCCTCATGGACAATAGACTTCTGCCCTACTATACTGAACCACCAATGATCAGTCCCTACAAAGCAAGATTTCGGGGGGGATATAGCATGGCAAAGCAGTCGAGCACATCCCAGGTCCCAGTCACAAACCCTAAGTGAATATGACCCACAGTAAATGAACTCAAAGCTCATCAAGAGAGGAAGAATTCAGCAATCAAGGGAAATCAACACACATGAAGGGAAGGGGGAGAAAGAACAAACACGGAGACCACAGGCACGGCCTCCCAACCCCTTGCTACAGCCTCTCTTCCTCCCCCCAATCCCACAGGAACAACTCGTCAGCACGCCACCCCACAGTGTATCTCCAGGTCAGCGTCTTCCCATGCACAGCAAAGCTTTCGAGCAAGAACCCTCAGCTACCCTTCGACCCCAGCAGGCCGCCCTCCGGCCCCAACAGAGTCCCCCACAAACTTCGCAATTTTCAAGTTTCTGTTTGGGCTGACCAAAGCTAAAAATTCCTTCATTGTCCACACTTTCTGAAACCAATGGAGGGCCCCCCCTGCCATTAGCTTAGATCTCTTCCATTTTGTTAAAATAGTTAATCGAAGTGTGTCTTTAACCATGCTTCTCTGTCGATGAAGGGACAGCTTGTTGTTTCTGAACACTGCGGCATTTCGTGCTTTCCAGATCGTGTCAAGTAGAATTCCTCTGCGTACCAACGCAGGGTATCCCCATTCATCTGCTAACTTTGCATTGGGAGGCGGGAGGGCGAATAGTATCCAATCATTCATCAATCATCCGTCCATTCCCACTCCGGGCCTCCTCCTCTCTACCTCCTCTCTACCGTCTCCTCGCACAGCTTTCTGAGATTTTTTTTTTTTTTTTTTTTTTTTTTATAAATGGAAACCCTCCTCTTTTATTAATCACAATATTGAGGTCAGGGACCTCACAATTCTACCCGGCAGCATCAGCCGGTTTAGCTTACAGCCCACAGGGCTTCCCATGCAATGTATCTTAACAGAAGCTGGGGAAACTACCTCCTATTTTCTTAAGTTAGGGCTTCTATACCTACCATCAAAATCTTGAGTACCGGATGCGGCCAATGGCTACAAAACTACCAGCAATCTAACTGAGAAGAAGGCCTGTCACCCGACCCCAGCCCCTACAATCTTGAACAAGGCCCTAAAGTGGGCTTCAATTATCTTCAATTTTAATCCCTGAGTGAGGTTTGTCCACATTCCAGTACACCCACTTCAGTCTTTCAAAAGCCAAGGTGAAAAACTGATAGTACCATTTGGTCTAAAAACGACCAAGCGTGCATTTGCCTCCCATGGCCTGGAGAACCAACTAACTGATTTGACACTGCGCCTACTCTTCACCTTTCGTCTCCAGTCTGCGATGATTGTATGCCTGATTTCACTCTTTACCTTGT